CACAGTGGAATTTGGGCTGTTTTGTTTAGATTGCACGCCGAGACATGCGTGCAGAGCACTGCTGCTATCATTTGGTGGGATTTTTTTTTTAAGGTTGAGGAAAGCATGATGTCTCGACTTGGCTTGTAACTTGTTTGTCTTAATAACTTGAGCATGCCTTAAATTCACTGTAACTGTCAAATAATATATGTAGTTCACTACAGTTATCAGAAATTTGGCATTTCTGTGTTCAGTTTTTATTGAGATAGCGCCAGACCAGCAGAACACATTCCACACCGGATATCTCAGTTAATACTAATTCTAGATAACGAATAATATTTAGTACAAGTTATGGTTAAACAAGACAAAACAACTGGATCTGATATTAATCAAATATATTCAAAAATGTAATCATAAGAATTTTATTATACCTATAAACTATTGGGGATTTCAAAACATATTTCAGATTAATCAACTCATTATCAAAAGCATTAAACCAAACCCAATCTTACATGCACAGCTCTCCATATAGTGTTTAATAAACTGGCAATTAGTCTTTTTTCAATAAAGTATAATTTTAATTTCCCCACATTGATGAGTTTTTGGGTTGAACAGCCTGCTCCAGGTGATGAGCAATCCATTTTTGAAAGGGTTCAATGTTTTATTCTATTTTAGAGACATTCAGATGGGAACCTGCTGATGTGCATTTAGTCATTGAATTCTTTAAATACTAGAGCACACATTCTAGAGCAAGTTTCAAGACACAAACAAATGCTAGTATATTCCCATTTAGGATTTTTTAGCTGATGCCCTCTTCAGCTGAGGTGGCTTGGGCATCTGCTACGGAGGTCCCCTGATGCCTCTCTTAGGAGATTATGCAGGTCCAGGGGGCGCTCCAGGACACCTATCTGGATTGGTTTCTTGGTTGGCTCTGGAACGTGTCAGGCTTCCCCCAAACGAGAAGGAGGAGGCGTCTGTGTGTCTCTGCTGGGACTAGTGACACCCTGACAACGAATAGGAGCTACTTTCAAAACGTTTGTCTCGTCATTCCACAGAATATTTCCCCAAAAATTTTGGAAAATGTTTTTGGGGGAAAATGTAAGAAGGGCTTTTGACTGCTTTTTGGTCTATAGTCTTTTTCTTGAAACAATCCAATGGGTGCAATTTTATGTTGAACACAACCATCAGACCAAAGAAGACCAAAACCTTTTCACATCAAAAAGCCTTTCCTCCTTCTTTCTAAAGCAGATGATGGAGCTCTGCTTGGGTTGGCAATCTCTGAAATCTGCACATATTGCAAGCTTTTGAGAAATGAAGTGTATTATATGAATAAAACCATGGTGAAAGTTTTTGATCCAAATGTACAACACCACATTTAGAAAACAGTCCAACAAAGCCTATCAGCACATAGAACCATGACTCACTGTGAAGCTAGAGGAGGAGGGCTGATTATTTTGAAACCTATCAGTTATTTAAAGCCTTATCACAAACCCCCTGTCCTGTTTCACCCCAAAGTTCACTAACATACATTTATATTAGAGAACTAACACTGTTGGTCATATTTCAAAGCCAAATGGACATATGGATGACCTAACCATGGTGACTCAGGAAGGTAATTGTGGTGATTTGACTTTAACCTCAAAGCTGCATCAGTCCCTAAACTGGTCGGACTGAGATGGGTAGAGGTCATCACCGGACTGACTGTATTCTAGAGCGAAATATAATAATTATAATTAAACTTTATTGATCTCACATTGGAGAAATTTATCTCTGCATTTAACCCATCCCTTTGGGGAGCAGTGGGCTGCCATTGTGCAGGTAATGGGGAGCAGTGTGGGGTGTGGCTGTGGGGATGGAATGAGTACTTGCAACCTTCTCAGAGCACAAGCACACTGCTCTTACCCAGTAGGCTGACACTCCCCATATACCCAAATATGACCGTATATGTACAACAACAGAAGCTTGTCTTCAGCAGGGTACTGATCCCAAACACAGCGTGAGATGTTTCGCAGAGCAGCTAAAAGTTGCAATGGTCCAGTCAAAGTCCAGCCAACCAGCGGAAGTCACTGGGTAATATTGTCCTGTGTTTAACATTTCATGCACATTTTACAGTATTAAATTATTTTCCTTAATGTCGGTGTTACTGTAACGTATACAACACCAATCATAGCTCAACTTTACCTTCAGACTAATCTGCACCGATGCAGTCTTCGGCTTCATTCGGATGCGATATAAATGGGGCTGAACTTATTCCATGGAAGCGAACACCAATAAGCTCTGGCGATCTGTGCATTGTGCTCTCCTATAACTAATAATGTAGATTGTGAGGCAACACAAACTGTTTGATCAGCCTGCTTTTTTGTGTGTGAATTGGTGTGTCCGAGCTTTAATCTTTATACAGATTCCCTGTGCTCTGTAACCGCAGGGTCTAGGGCTTGCAGACATATTCTGGAGGAGTGATTAGCATATGTATGGACCCTCTGCTCCTCAACTCCCACACAAAAGGCAGGCAGCCACGAGGGCCAGGTGGTAAGCAGTGGGAATTCTCCTCGCCTTGCCTGGGGGACAGGTGCAAACAACTTCACCTCCATGCAGAGCTGTATTACAGCTCAAAGGAGAGCCCGTCTTGAACTTGCGCAATGCAAAACAAAAGATAGCAGGGATCTTTTGTCTGCCACTTTCTGCTGTTGTCTTCTAAAAAGAGCTGGGCTGGAGCAGAACTTGCAAACAGGAAGTGGTCTATGACTATCCTTAAGGGGGTTCAAGCACCAAATCGTTTAGGAGCTGTGATGTGAGTCACATTTTTTCACAACATGATTTTTAAAACACTAAAACATGTGTTCCATGGCTCGTTTTTAAGCTCTGGTTTTACACATTATATTCTGTCTGATCTTTAGGAGCTGGTAAATAACACTGGGCTCCTTTCACCAGGACAGGCCAACATCAACATCTGTCAAAACACATGGAGTCCATGAGAAAGCTGCATACATGTGTCCAGATATTCCTCTGCATTTATATACTCTCTTTGATAACTGACAAACTGATTTTCCATACTTTCCAGATCCAGACAGGAACCTTGTAATTACATTTGTTTACTTTGCACATAGTCACTTCATGAAATCTCACTAGCTCCCCCCTGCCACTTCCTCACAGAACAAACAAAGAAATGCAAGGCAAATGAGGGGTAAAAGGGACGAAGCCCATGTAAATTAGGCTTGGCGGTCTTCATTCAGTCACTTGAAAGGCTCCTGTTAGAAATAGGGAGAGCTGCCCTCTTCTAAATCATACATATTCAATATTCTTTCATAACACATGCCCGCAACAAGCCCTGACCCTTCAAAAATTAAGCCCTTTTACTGAAACTGGAAAATCATGAGAGTGCTGCCCACCAGCAACAGTGTGATCAGGCGAAATGTAAAACCCAAGCATGGATACAGTGAGTTGCAATGGAGAATTTAAGATGATCTAGTTGTAAAGTGGGAAGAAACTTGACATAAAAACTATCTTTGATTAATTCGTATACTTTAAAATAAGAGCCATAACCATACACTTGGATTGATCACACATATTCCCCTGAATAAATCTTTAAGCTTTTGATTCCCTTCATTTTTTTGAAGAGAAGCATTTTGACAAGTACGGAAACTATTTTCCAAATCTTTTAAAGGCAGCATCATTCACTCAAATTGCTATATGTAAAAAGAGCAGCATCCAGTTGATCTGGGCATCTATCCAAGAATCAAAAGACCTGATAAAGATGCTCTCAGCTGGAAGCAAAATGTCCTTAACTACAGTCAGGATTCTGACTTTTTTTTAAATTATAATTCTTTATTCTCCTTCTCTGCTTCACTGATCTCATTCTTGTTTCCTTTTAGCATCCTTGCTAATTAGCCCACTCCAGTTTCTTTGTATACTTTCCATTTTCGTCATAATGGTAGAGGCCAGATCCACCTGGCTACACATCGGCGCAGAAATTATCCCGCGTTTTATGGGCTACAACATGAATATCTCTCCGTTGGCCGTTTAGGTTTGACAAACCAGCCGTGTGGGAATCCTTTATAACCTCCCCATCCATCCAAACCCGGTCTTCGAATGTCTGCAGGTTAAAGCAAATGTGTTCGTCTGCATGCTAGAGGACGTGACTAAGTGTGATCAGATTATGAAGCAGGGGCAGGCAGGCGGTCTCGTTGGCGGGGCGGGGCAGGGGAGGGCTGCCCCTTATGTCAATGGCAGCTGATAAGCACACCTAAACAAGATCAACTGTACCATCAATATAAGACGTTTTCATAGCGCTGTGAGGTCCTTCAACAGACAGGCCATCACACCGTAACTTTCTGATTACAGTGCCTTTTTTTTTTTTTTTTTTTTTCAGCTAACAGCGTGAGGGGGCCTTACACAAAAATGGGTGATGGAAAGACCGCTGAGGATAAAACAAGACCTGTAGCAATATGGACTGAAAAGACACTTCAAAAGCAATAAGAAAAGGTAAATTTAAAGTTTGCTAATGCCATCAGAGACGAACAACCAGAGTGATTATTGAAACGTTTGGAGGAAATTAGGAGAAGATTGTTAACCTGAGTAAACCATTTTCACTGTAATGTAAAAGAGTGAGGGTATCATGTTGTGCAGATGTTTTGCTTCAGGAAGGACTGGTGCACATATCAAGTTAAAAGAGCATTATGTGGGTTTGGAGAAGTGAGATATTAAGGTATCAGCTAGGAAATCAAAGCTCGGGCACAGAAGCTTGTAAAATATGCCTTTGAATTTTGACCAAAACCATTAAGTTTAAAGGTAAAAATACTAACATGATGCCTGTAAATGTCTGCCTTTGTAGAAAAGCAGAATAAAACCACCCCTCTCCCAATCATGGACGATACCAAATATATACAATTTTAGCTAACTGAGGTTAAAGGTTTATTCTGAAATCACAAAGAGACATACAGTGAAATAAAAAGCATTCTGATTTTCCATACAGTTCATTTAAACATCTGGTTTCTGCTGTGTTCTACTGGAATGGTATTCACCTGGGTGGCTTTGTCTTTCATACAGGAAGGGTAGGGTGTGTGAGAGTCCCGAGGCCACTGGCCAGTGAGGTAAGGTCCTGTGATGGCGTCCAAGGAAGACGCTCTTCGTATGGCACTAGAACTCCGCACTTGAAGCTTGGATCTTTCTGCTGTGAATTAGAAAAGAAACATTTGCTGTTAATTGTATTTCTCTCTTCTTCACATGTCTAAATTTTCATCATTGTGTCTATACATTTGCAACCAAACTGTTGCATTTATGTTAGAACTCCACAACAACTCATTAAAAAGTTAAACAAAACCAATTTCTAAACAACATTCTTGATTTCCAAGATAATCAAAAAAAGAAACAAGACCCCAGAGCTCAAACTATTTCAATTAAGCAAGTTTCTGCAGGAGGTTTTAATCTTGATCCTTTCTTGTTCTAAAACTATAGAGATGTTGTTGAACCACATGACTGAGAGATAAAAAGAGTAAGAAAGCAGAGACAAATGCTGGGCTGAGCAGGAGTATCTAATGTTATGGGAGCAATCTGCTGTGACCTAGAGCAGCTAAGCATACACCACCCACATAAGAGCTCATAAGCCACCACACTGCAATGCACATCAATACTGCCTGCATCCACATAACATTCCTGCAGAGGCATGCAATGTAAGAACAAACACAACACAATGAAAAATGCAAATCCAAAATAAACGAAGAAGCACTGAGCCTGCAGCAAAAAAGTGTTTATTAGCCTGAATGAAAACATTCAGGTGTGTAATTAGTTCAACTTCTTCATTTTGACGTCAAAAGCTGAAGGACAGGCGGGAGATATGCTTATTTACTTCATTTCTTGCCAGAACAGCTAAGTCAAAGGCCCTTCACACATACACAAAGGACACGCAGGCTGAACCATCCACATGAGGCACCCCTTCCCTCGTGGAGCTGCACAGCCAGTCATTGTTGTTCTTTGTTCATAAAACACACAGGCCTTCCCACCCAAAGGTATTGCCTAAGTAAGCTTACTGGGCTACAGTAAAATTCCCTGAAGCATTGCAGACAAGGGAAGCAGGCTAAATTTCCATCAATATTGATATAAGCCAACGCGGTGCTCCCTGAACTGGGAATGAGGTTATTTTCCACTCCCCACCAACCCCCCGTTCCCATTCACCACACGGCAATCATCTCCTCATGAGGGAAAAAAATGAAGCAGTGAAAAAGAACTTTAAACATCAAAGAAACCATCTGCCAATTTCATTGGTGAGATTGTGACACTGAAGGAAAAGTTTTTAGCTTCATTTTAAATGTAGGATTTCCCTTCAGACCCATTCAGGAGGCAGGAAAATAGAGAACGCTTCTTAGGTCTGTTCGGTTTTATGATCTGCAAGGCAGAAGCAAATATTAAAACAAACACGCGGTCAGCACTTTCCTGTGGGTTTTCACAAGGCTTTATCCTGACACCATATGAAAACAAAATTCCCAGATTTGAGCTCGTTCACAAAACCAAATTCACTGCAAGTTCAGCATTTGAACTGAGGCTATAACTGGGGTCAGTAACTTGGTTCCTGGCATTTTCAAAATTTGATTCCTATAGTCCACTGCTTCTCATTAATGATGTAAATGCTAATATTTCCAAATCCCATCATACTGAAGCATTCGGCTACATGAAGGCAACAGAACTATGTCATAATCACTTATTGCTGGTCATCTAGAAATTTGCAGTTTTGGTCATTTTCTACCCAATAGTACCATGTACAAAATCATGCCAATAGGAAACCAAGCATCAAATCTCCCAACAAGTAGAGCATATCATGCAATTGGATTAATTAAAAGTACACTTCTGTTTTCTACTTATAAAAGGCTGTAGTGAGATTCGGGTTTATAATAAGTCATAAATAGGGCTTGTCACCATTAACTGCCCCAAACAAAGGACTATATGGCTGAACTATCATTTAAAGGGCAATATTTATGGAAATAATAATTCAAGAATTCACAAATCAATCCTCCCTAGAGCTTCAGAGTTATACTGTTTTGCAATTATTTAGCAGATACTGCAATAAAAGATGTAGAAAACTTCTCAAATTAGCATCTTTCTATTAATTTTTACAGAATACAGAGAAAAACTGTGAAGAGCCTGGAGATGCAAGATGCTGACTCTTACTTAAAGTACACGGGTACAACGTGTTTTGTTTAGAGGTACGAAATGAAAGTACAGGGAGATGAAAGGGATGAGGCATAGCTACAAAATAAGGGTACACAGCAGCAAAAGGATCTAGATCTGAAAAACATGCAGAAGGTCACAGAAGAAAACTGTTTATTTCTCATTTGGATGATTTTTTTTTTGTGATTAAGTTCATTTAGTAAACTTAATGACAAAAAGATTAGTTGCTTAAAGTTTTAGTCAGGGGAAAATGTGTGATCAAACCAAGTGTATGGTTATGGTTATTATCTTTAAGTTTAAGAGCGCCATCTATTAAAACATTTTAAACACAGTAGTGCCACTCTTGTTTTTTTGTTTTTTTATTAAACAAGGATGGCTGTCTTGCATGTGCGTGTGACGGACATTTTTAATGATGCAATCAATTCAGGTACTTCAACCGACAGTGCTACATTACCCCTTAAGTGAAAATGTACGTTTGCCAATAGTTGTTCAGTTATTTCAAAATAAGCAGATATGACTTGCTTTTAAACCTGCAATAATAACACACCTCAGTCAGGGTTATATGTTATTTCTGGAGCAACTTTCCAACTTCAAACATTAATAAAAAGCAGCATAGAAAGGTGCCAGTACTTTTTTCCCTGTTATCAGCTAAATATTGGACAAGTATATCACAAAACTTTCACATCCAGGCATCTTTTGAGAACTTTCTGATTAAACAGACTCATCTTTTTTATCATTTGGTGCTGCTGACTCAACTAAAAGATGACACATTGTGCTCAATAACAGATATACTAAGTTGTCTTTGGATAAATGAACCTAAATACACAGGGCATGAGCAAAACACTGCTTTAGCACTGAAAAACGGTTAACTTTTTTACTAGAACGTTTTGCAATATGGCCACAAAAGGTTTTACCTAACTCTAAGAGATATTTAACAACTAAGCGCTAAACTTATGAAATCCATATTATACTGTTAAGCATTTATAGCAGTCCCCTTTACGACAAGGCCTAAAAGTTTGAACATTAATATTTCTGATATTAATCCCAACCTAGATAACACTAGCAACACTGTTGCTAGTGTGAAGGAAAGATTAATAGTAACAAATGAACCTTTTACAAAACCTGGTCTGTGGAGTGAAAATCCCTTAAATGCAAGTTGAAATGTTATCAGAATGAAAGCAAAAACTCCTTTTCATAACATAACATGAAATTGAGATCCAAGTTTGGTCCTTCTCTGCAGATTAAACAGTCATAGCACACTTAGCTTATAGACTAGAAGCAACAATAATGTAGTGAAATGATGTCATCCTGAAGCTTAAAGGTCAGGGCATGTAATATACACTTTTGATGCATTTAGAAAGAAGTAATGCTTTAATCCTATAGACACAGTGCATCCCATCACCATGACTAACGTTATGCAGAGTCCAAAGTACAGTAATCATAACGAAATTATGCAAAGAACTTTTGTATGCTCTGCAAAGTAACGGAGAGTCTTAGTAGAAATAGCACCTAAATCTGTGCTAATTGTCAATATCTTTTGTGTTGTTTGAATTTTTAAGGTCATATACAAAAATGAAGTCCTGGTTCTTCATTAAAGCTGACATGGAATACTAGTTTGGGTTTGAGGTCATCTCCTTTGGAAGAATTATGTGGGGCATGCAGCTAAAGAAGGACAGCAACACCAGGAGCTAACCAAACACGGATAATATTCATCCTGCCTGCTAAAAGTGACTTCAGAGTTGTTATTGAAGAGACTTTGCTTCCTGCCCTTCATGGTAGGCTGGTCATCAAGGCTGGAGGTCATCCCGTTCAAAGCACCAAGGAATGTGAGGCACTTCAAAAACATAAAATTCCACTGTTACAACATCGCAATGACCACAACGCTGCACTGGGAAAAGAGCAGAGCCATTTCAGTTAAAGGTAAGAGTGTAGAAGCTATATTATGTGCCTAATGGAAGTGGGACTCATCTGACTGCTGATCCAGAAAAACCCACTGATGTTAACAAAAGTGGAGTCTGAGTCTCCAGACAGTTTTATTTACACACTTCAATATTGAGACGTGTTTTAAAACAGTTACCAGACAGTCTGCAGCTATGCTTGTGCTTCATGCAGAAAACTACATTCCAGACAATAACAGAGCTGTGTTTTTCTGGACTCTAGGAGAACAGTTCTACCAAATAACAGGCATCAAAAGTAGTCAGAGAAGAAAACCTTACATTAAACAAACTTAGAGGGATCCTTCTGCACAATGTAAAATATGCAGGACATCATGGTGCATCATCTGTTGTGTATGTGCTTAATATTTAAAGCTGTATGCACAGAGGGGGCCTTCATTAGGTTGCCATATTGCAGTGGAAAGCATATAGCAGCAGATTTCCCTCATTATTGCAGAGCTGTTCTCCAAATCCAGTATTCACCCCAGTCGAAAAGGGCAAAGTATATCCTTGGAAGGACCAGCCTATCATAGATTAAATTTTGCATGGTAGGGTAGGGTATCATGAAGACAGAAAGCCCTGCATGCACACACTTGCTCCTTTAGGGAATTTGGAGTGGCTTGTTAATGAAACCTGTATGATTTTGTACTGTGGGAGGAAGCCGGGGTACCCAGAGAGGACCTAAGAATGCTTGGGCAGAGCTGAGGAACACCATACCCAAAAGGCTCCAGCCAGGATTTCACTCATGGCTCTTCTGCTGCAAGGCAACAGTGTTAGCGGGCTCTCCTGTCATGATGCCCTTAGACTGTAGTCTGCATAAAATATGCAAAGCTTCATTACAAACAGGTTAGGGCTGAATGAAAACCACAATAACAGTGTTATGAATTAAATAAAGGATGCTCACCACTCTCTGTGATCTTATGCATCTCACTCTTAGAAATATTTATCAGGTTTGGACGCAGAGGACGATGAATGTCTGGACAAAAGGGCCAAATTTAATACTTGGTGCAAAAGGCGAACACATGCCATTTGAGGAATGACATTCAATGATTGATATTCCTTGAGTTTCCAAATGACCATATACAGTGTAGCCCTAACTTTGATTTACTGAATTGTATAGCTTTTGTCAAAATAAAAAAAAATAAAAATAAATAAGTAGCTGACGAGGTTTACATGGATATATGGTCACAAACTCAAATAAAAAACTGTGTTTATAATATCATATCAAAATCTGGTATTGAAACTGCAAAGTTAATGACTTGACCAATGATCTTACTTTGTTTTAGTCAAACAACGGAAAGAATAAAAAAACAGTGTTTTTAAAATTAGCCACAGATACCCCAACTTAAAAGTTTTACACCAAAAAACATCAACGACTGGCTTCCTTACGAACGAACGGACTTCTGTATTCGTTTTGTAATCTCTTATGGAACACAATAAATACAAAATATCATAATCAGATTATTTTTCTTGGCTATATCAATATCAGAAAGTTACAAATGCAACAGTTGTTTGGATATTATATTTTTATGCATGTAAAAGATTGCAGCCTTGGATGGATGGATGGATGGATGGATGGAATTATAGACAGATGAACTACTTTTACATTTTGATGCTGCTCAGTTAATATTATGATTGAGTTTATTTGCTATTGTTACTAACCCTAAAAAAAAATGTATTTCAGTTTTTTATTCTTCATAACTATATCAATCCATCCATGATGCTGTCAACCAAATGCTGGGTGAATTTCATTAATTTCATTTAACATCCATACCCCCAATATCAGTAGAACAAAGTTGACAAAACACTGCAGGACAACCAGTGCCATAAACTAATGTGAACCTAACTAACAATCTGGTGTAATCTGCATGCCTAAAGGAAATGTGTGTGAGGAGGCCTCCAAAGCTGGCTCCTACCCAGGGGCCCACATGCTTCTGAATCCAGCCTTGGTTACAGCTCACAAACTTTTAAAACAAATTCTCATTTTACACCCTTTAATATAAACTTACCACAAAGTTTATTTTACTAAACAGCAACAACAGAAGCTATAGTAATGAGCTCCAGGGGACCACACGTGATGTGATCCTCCATGTTTATGCAAGTATTCAAATGTTGTTTTTTACCTTTGGAAACTGGAGAGTCTGGGGGACATGAAGCCTCCTTATTTTCAGGGGATATTATTTGCTTTGCGTTGGTACTTCCTGAACTGAGCGGAGGACTGGATGGGGGGCTTGAGACCCGGCTGGCCGTTGCCCCTCCGTGCAGGGTTTGCGGCCGTGTGGGACTGCTCGGACCCCCACGCAGGAGCTGGTAGGGCACGGTTGCGCGGATGGGATGGAGGCGGCTGCTGCTGCTGCTCTGGCTGAACGAGCCCGGAGAGCCTGCATTACTGCGCCTCACCCTCGGCTGCTGAAGGGAGTTACTGGGAGCTGACATCTTCCGACGATGTCTAGTTACTCTTATCGCAGGGAAAAATACACACTGCCCCAAGCTGCTGCTTTTCTAGAAAAGGAGGAAAAAGTTGGAGCGTTCAGATAAACATCAGCCTGCTAGCAAAAAAACGTTAGCTTCCTTTAAAACCTCTTAACTCCTGCTTTCAATGGGTAAAACACAATTCAACATGTTTTATTTTGAGGCAGACTTACCTCTGGGTTATTAACACATGCCGTGGTAAACTCCAAACATGGCATGGATAACTTTTAGAGTTGTTTTTACAACTTCTCGTTACATCTTTACGTGTTTTTGCTGCCCTCAGACCTTCCCCATCCTGTTCACTCGATTGACAGTTTTTCGGCTCGACTACTGGCTGATCTCTGTGGGCGGGGTTTGGTTCCCAGTGCCTGGGTTTCTGATTGGTCAAACATAATGTACAGTAACGTCTGTGATAGGCTGCACCGGTCTATACCGAGCACTTTCAACCAATCAGAAATGTTAAACTTTTTTTCCCGTGGTTTTCATTTTAAGAAAAATACGTTTAATGATGTTAAAATATAATTATTCTTTATAAATTTTAGCCTCACGCGTTTAGGTCTGTATCCGATTGAATACAGTTTATCAAAAAAATCTAAAACCTAACTATTCAGGATCTCTTATTTTGAAGTAATTCAACAGCTGCCAGTGCTTAGGCCCCCCATACCAGGCAAAAGTACATTAACACATTTTATGGTGAACACAATAAACCCAACTTTGGGAACAGATCTTTACAATATGTATCTGAAAAAGTTAAGTTATGGCTTGTGTGAATTGCTTAAACAAAATATATATATTTGTAATAAATTTTAGTGATCACAGCTGTGTTTACACACTCTAACATAACTACACAAAGTCAAGTCCACGGATCTTTATGGCAAACCTTTGTTTATCCAGCTTTCATCTGTGTTTTGTCTCTGCCCCTCTTTTTGCATAAAAGAGCTCAGAGCTTCTGGAAACTTGAGTCAAATTCCTTTTATGCCTTAACATGTTTAGCCAACCAGTGTGGTTAGAAAGTCGGGCAATGGCTGCTTTCCGTTGGCAGGGCAGAGTTTCTCCCTCAACCTCTGAGAGCTCCACACAAATATTCCATAAGAACCTGCCAACATACTTAAAGAGACAAACATACACTGCACTTTACTCTAATGCATCATCCTTCAATTTCACATTGTTCATGTGAAATGAGCCAAACTTTCAGGGATTTTTCTATTATCTAAGGCAAGATAGATGATATTTTTTTTCCAATTCTTGTTTCTTTGTGGTGGTTACCTGTGATGTTCAGGTTGGATTTTAATAGTTTTTTGAAAATCAATAAACAGGTTATCCCCCTCTTGTCGCTTACTTCCCCATGACCTCTTAGATCATCTCACTGGGCTACTTTCTGTGCCCAGAGCAAGACTGCAGAGGCCCATCAAGCTTTTAGGATCATGGCTCCACTTTCATAAAATGCTCTGCTGCCTATTATCAGACGAGCCTCCTCCATATCTTCTTTGAATGATTAATTACTAAAGGCTGTTTTTTAACTGATGAGCATTGTATGCTTTTAATATCTATTTATGTTTTATTGGTTTTATGCTTGATCTTTTTTATGCGATGTAAAGCATTTTGTAACCATGTGGAAAAACACCAAAGATAAATAAATATATTACTTTGTTAGACTTTTACTGATAATGCAACTTTAATCTTTTGTTTTCTAGATTTTTACATTCGTGATTAATCTCCCCTTCACTTTACAAATACACTCTTTGGATTGGTTGGCTACATAGGATCTCAATAAAATAGCTATAAACTGGTGTTTGCTTTGAAAAAACATTTGCAAGATGATTTAGATTACTTTTAGGCCTGATAGCTTTATCCTTTGACCTCATGCTCTATTTTTATTTTTTTTTATTATTTCATGCAGATATTTTGTTCTTTCAGGTACAATGGAACAGAAAATGTTTGAAAGATTATCTGTGGGATCTTAAAACAAAGAAGCAAGAGCTGGTTTAAAGCTTTTGCAAAGTACTGTAATTGATGGTTTGTGTCAGATTGTAAGGTCAGCTTTTAGTTGGACAGTTAAGGTAATAGCCTCTTTTTCAACTAAGGACTTATGTTAATTTCTTGGAGTGAAGTCCCTGCTTATCTCCTGAAGTGGAGTGGAAGCTTAAGTTCTATAAAGTCTCCATACTAGACTTGGCCAAGCATCTGTAAGTTCAGGGCAGAAAAACAAACCCACGCCATCTGTGTCTATGAAATCTACTTTAAAATAAACCATAGAAACAAGGAAAACATATACATCCAACAATACTTCAATTTGTCAGCAGAGGTTTATTTAAAAAGCAGAACAGAAGAAACTGTCAAAAAGAAAAAAAGAAATTCCAGCCACTGTGTTTTCCAGGACGCTACATGGCTCACCAATTTGTCTGCCCCGTTCCAAGATGAAGATCCTTTGAAAAGGCTGCCTACAGTAGCTGCTCTGCCCCCTCCCAACTCCTCCTCAACACTCCATGACTAAGTGAGTTAGCCAGCTATTGGGATGGCTGCCCTATTTACAATAAGTCCCTGGGTTAGAGACTGTGCAGAGAAGGTGGCGAAGAAAGACATAAATACCATTTCCATTGTGGTTTGCAGACGACAGCTACCCCACAGATGGCACCCATCCTTGGATTCATGTGTGGTATGCATAGATTTTGGGTGCAATTTGGGCATCTGAGTACAGAAAGAAAGAAAGGGCAGTGTGTTGGTCTGGAGGTTGTAGGAGGGAGGGGAGTAGCTGTACAGGGCTCAGGGTGTCTGTTCTCTAGTTTTCTTTTTTGAGTCAATAGTGTTCCGGCAGCTGAGGTTCTTTATGAGGGAAACAATCTGGAGGGTCTTGTCAGGGTGCCGAGCAGCTGCCGTTTTCTGGCGAGCTTCTTTCATAGGCCACAGGCCTGCAGTAAGCTGGTGAATAAAGGCGCACCCTCCTCTTCCTCCTCTCTGTCCCTTCGCAGCTCCTCTAATCCCCCCCCCACCCAACCCGCCCTCTAAGGCAAACCTTTCAGACTGGAAGCCCCTCCTTCACAAAGCCAGATGAGGAGAGTAGGAGGTTGTTATCATTGTCATCGAACCCTGAATAAAACTTTATTGAGGTATGTGAAGATTTTGCCCGTCGCACATTAAATATGGACCGAAACACAACAAAACAAACCTAAGAAATGATGGCACATTTGATCACATCTCCTAAACCAGATATCTGACTGGATCTCTGGAAATAAAACTGCATCCTGATTCAGGTTAATCTGGTTGAGGCTAATAACATTATGTCCTCTTCAACTTCTCCTGAGAGTGATTCTTATTAGTAGAGCAGTAAATTAGTTTCCGCTCCCTTTCTGCCTTTAACATAGTTAGTCAAATTATTACGCCACACTTTGATTCCCTTCTTCATATAGAGCTCTGGTATTAGATAACATTCCCTAGACTATTATTTAGCAGTATATCTTTCTATCCAAGCAGCCACTTCGGAGAGGGACGTTGTTGAAGCTGCCCAGTAGCTGGTGTGGAGTCGCAGCAGTTAGCCTGCACCAGTTGGCTCCCGGTTTGTGTTAGGCTTCAGTTTCCAACACGCATGTCCCGTTTAGCTGCTGTCCGCAGGCACAAGGTTTCCTGTGGTGTCCAGCTGCATGCATTTACATGCACAGGCTGACACCGGGCACTCTGTGTGGTCTCTGTAAAACATACAGACTGTTTTAAGCAAGCTAAAGAAACAACGTAATTCTTGAACTTAAAAAAAAAAAAAAAAAAAAAAAAAAAAAAAAAAAAAAACTGGTTACTAGATATCCAAAGATTCACCAGCTTCAGATTATACATTTCAATGGCAAAAAAGAAACTTCATGTTTTTTGAATTTGAGAGTTTGAAGCATCAGGACAGAATAGGAAAATGATTTTGTTCATAACTTGTTTAAATCTCTGAAGCTCCGAGGCCTGCAGGTGTTAATCGACACCATGCCAGGATGGGAAGACATCAGCGGTGACTTCAGCAAAGCAGCTGCTGCTGTGCATAATTCTGGGAGGGATTATAAGACTATTTCCACTTCATTTGGAGTCAAAATTTAGATTGGGCAACGATCAGTAAACATGGAAAAAATATATATTGGATCTTACTTAGAATTTAAGGCTGGGAAATTAGTGGAAAAAAAAAACTGAACAAGGATGGCTTGTTAGAGGAGTTGCTGGAAGAACCAAACAAGGAAATGGCAGCATGAGTTAAATGAGGAAAGTTGCCAACAAGACTCCTGGACATCAAAGACAAATTTAAAAAAGAGATCTTTAGCCGTAATGTCAAGGACCAAATTAGGAGAAAACCCTAAAAACATCACAGCAAAGACACCTCCTGGCAACAGTAAAACATGGTAGCACATGCATGAGGATGTGGCCTTGTTTAGAAGGGCAGAGAAATGGCCTAGTTAAAGTACAAACTGTAACCTCATAAAACCTAAAACCTGAAAACTCATTTAGTTTGATCTCAAATTAAAGGCTTGTGGAAGAAAAAGAAAAAGAGAAAAGAGAAAAAAAAGATGCAAAACAGAATAAAATTAGTTTAACATAAGAGACTCACAGTAATTGTTACTTCATTTCTTTCTATTTGTATCAATGCTTTAGTAAAACTAAACTAATGTTCTATAAACATAAATGTGATCAATAAATAAATTGAAAAAAAAAGATTTTTTTCCATTACATTTGGTAAAATGTCAGGAAAAGTGACAGATGCTCAGATCAAACTTTTAAAGTTTATTTCTAAAGTTTAGTTTCCCTATAGCCTTGACCACCAATACTGATTTAATTTAGTATTTTCTTGAAAACCTGTAAATAAAGTTTAGACTGTGTTTTTAAAAACGAATTTTCTTCTCTCTGAGTGGCTGAATGAACCAAACTGACATGTTTCCACATGACCTAGAGCTTAGGTGTGGTGATAAAACTGTATTTCTGAGTTTCCAACCAACTAGTCACAGAACAGGATTAATAAAGAAAGGAAAAAAACGGGAAAAAACAGCAGAGCTCAGCTGCGTTCACAGTACATCTCTAATGTGCACTACAGCTTAGAGAGAGAGGTCAGTATGTGATACAAACCATTAGATCAAACTGATTAGAAAAATCTCCCCTACCTGAACCAGCTCAGCATGTGACCTGCATGGCCGCCATGTCGACAGTTATGACACCAGGTGAACCAGTTGTTAAACTGGGCGAGTTTGTTCTCCCTTGTTAAGTCCATTTTCTCATCAGACTTTCCTGTTCCTGCAAAAAAAACATTCATCCTGAGGTCAAATCCGACTCTCAGAGCTGGTAGAACTGATATCACAG